CGAAGCCCAGCAGGTCGAGGCTGAGGTGGCCGGGAGCGGCCACTGCACTCCAGTCTGGGCGACCGAGTGAGACTCCAACTCAAAAAAAAAAAACAAAAAAAAACAAAACTGTTTAGATCAATGACTGCTGATGCAATTATGAGAATCTATTCCATTTAAAATTAACACAGGTCATCACTGAATACCAATTCTGCCCCCAGAAAAAGGGGGAAAGGTGAGAGAAACCCTCCTTTCCACGGCAAGGTGTCTGACACAGGAGCTGTATGTGTCCTTGCCCACGAAATGCATTTCAGCCCAGGTTCTCATGAATGCAACTGCGATGATGGTTGCCTAAGGATTTTTCCTTGTGGCCCAAACATAACTGCCAGGTTTCTCTGCATGAGCCAGGAAGACGAGTGAAGCAACACCTTCTTCTAAGGCAAAAACCCTTCTGCAGACATAGCTTATTGTGGTCTGAGTGTCACACAACCTCCTCCCAAATGAATCGTGGCTGGTCAACATCCTGCACCTCGGTTTTCAGGAAATCAGGACAGACCAGGTTTTAGATGTGTCTGGAATAGGAGAAACCCTAATTGTACCTACTGTGGGAGGCAGATGTGGTAGAAACAAATAAATCCAAAGATCTGCACTTTATTCTTACTCTAGCCAGTTTTAAAAATTTATTGTCTCTGTCTTCCCTTTCTCTCATAAAATATTTTATAAAAATTGCTAACAATATGGAGAAGCAAGTCTGGAAATTCGTTAATGCTATTTCCTTCCCTGACAGCCTTTGGGTTGGTGCTAAGAATCGACATGAGAACTGAGGACTATCCGAATCCCAAGCATTAGTGAAACGAGCCAAGTCACGGAGAGAAGGGGTTGGCAACACAAGCCTTGTAAACCCCAGCACAGCCACCCAAATCTGCTTTCGGTGCGGCTGAGCTGACAGGTGACTCCAGCAAGGTCCTCTGACAGCACGAGCTGTGTCATACTTGGGGCAGGGTAAGTGGGGAGGTGCTGGCTTAGGCCCAAATCTGCACAGTGGGGGCGTAGTGCATATACCATGGAATGGCCAGGATGGGAAGCAGTCACCTTGAAGTTGGGGTCCCCGGATAGAGAAGTTGCAAGTGTTGGGAAGCCGTTCAGCCCCTGGAAACTGGCTATTCAAATGGATTCTCTCATCAAATTCAGCCTAAAAAAAAAAAAAAGAAATAAAATATTCAGTGACAGCATCTAAGAACTCCACCCCCCTTCTACCACCAGCAACTGAACTTTAGACTTTTCTGGGAAACTAAATCTCAATATGTAAATACCAATAAGTGTCTACCTATTATGTGTGTGTGTGTGTGTGTGTGTGTGTGTGTGTGTGTGTGTGTGTATTTTTTTTTTTGAGTCAGAGTCTCAGTCTTGTCCAGGCTGGAGTGCAGTGGCATGCACGTGGCCACTGCAGCCTTGACTTGCTGGGCTCAGGTGATCCTTCCACCTCAGCCTTCCAAGTAGCTAGAACTATAGGCGTGTACCACCACGTCCAGCTAATTTTTTGATTTATTGTAGAAACGAGGTCTCGCCAAGTTGCCAGGCTGGTCTCAAACCCCTGGATTCAGGTAATCCTCTCGCCTCCAGAACGCTAGGATTACAGTTGTGAGCCATCATGCCCAGCTGTCTTCCTATAATATTTAAGGGCGTGGACTATGGAAAGCAAAAAGTTCATTAGAGTAAAAAATAAAATGGACTCCCCCAGCATTAAATATACTATCTCTGGTATAGTTTTATCCTGTCTCTGTGAGAAGATCCTCCCCTCTGTCTCCTTGCCCCATTCTTGCTGCCGCCACCCCCCCACCCACATACCCATCTGCTGTGCTCACCTCCAGCCTCTCCTCCAGGTAATCCCGAATGTCCCTCATGTGGGCCTCATACACTTCACAGTTCTGGGTCACTAGCTCAGCAGCCTGGGGACACAGATATGCAGCAATGCATGGAAGCACATTCAGTTATTGCAAAACAAAGGAGGGCAACAAAGCTTCTATCAGCACAGGTGATAATCTCCTCAAACCGCTCATTCTCTTGGGCATTGTAATAGGCCATAGTTCTTGAGTGCTGGTTTTTGGGGGTCCCTTCCTGACACCAACGACACCACAGCAAAGAAGCCAATTCTCAGAGCCCATGCCTCAGAAAGAGACACACAAAAACAAGGTGAATGGATTCCTGCTGGCTGCATCAGTGCTGTGAAGGGACCATGCATGCCCGCAGTGGAGGGGTGTAACAGAGATGGCTGTACGAAGGTGAGGATTAGCATCCCAGCAAAGGCCCTGCAGAGGGACAGACAGAACACAGGGGCCTGGTGTGGTAGATGGACAGAAGATAAAGGAACAGATCAGTAGGGCCCTGCAAGTCTGGCAATGGGCTGGATCCAAATGTCCGTGCAACAGGGCAGGGCAATTAGATTCTGAGGAAAGGGTGAGACAACCTAATATGTGTTTCCCAGTTATTTTTCTGCTATGTGGACAATGGTGCAGCAGACCCATGGGGGCGTGGCAGGTGTCCAGGCCCTTGGTCGGGGGTTGGTGGCCATGAAAAGGACAAGAGGTAGAACCTGGACATATCTGGAGACAGGACTGGCACTTCATTAGATGCAGGGGACAAGGACAAACTGAGAGCATCTCCAAGACTTCTGAAGTGAGAACCTGAAGAGCAGATAATGCCATAAGGGAAGGGGAGGATGGAGGAGAGAGATCAGGACAGGTTTAGACCCAGAAGAATGTCCAGTAAGTAGCTGGGACATGGGTCTCCCAGGAGATAGGTCAGGACCTGCTCTGAGATGTCAAGTTCAAAAACAGGAGCACAGAATGGTGATATGGTCATCGGACCTGGATGGGAGCCACCAAGGAGCAGGTGTGGGGAGGAGCCCCCATCAGGTACCAAAGGCAGAAAAGGAATAGACCAAAGGTCTGGGGAAGTCAGCTGGGGAGGCAAGTGTCTTGACAGCAGCCAATACTGACACGAGACTGAGGAGGGTGAGGATACACCCAGTGAACGTGACAACATGGTGGTGGCTGGGGACCTCACCTCCTCAGCAAGTGTCAGGGAAGAGGAACAAGAAGCTGACTGGACATGATGAGGAGAGTGCATGTAGGCCGCTCTCCAGGGCCTTTTCCTATGAGGGTCAGGGGAAGGCTGTTTTAAAGGTTAGGGGAATTTCCCAGTAGAGAAGAAGGCTAAGAGACATGAGATAGATGCCTTCTGCAGCGGGCACCAGGAAAGGGAGGCTGGAAGGGACCTTGACTTGCCCTAGGTAGGGTGTGCGTGCAGAGGTCACGTATGAAGATGGAGTCAGGCTGGAGAAGGGGGAAAGCACTGTCTAGAGTCCTGATGGGGCTAGCTGGGGCTCTGGTGTTGGGGCTAAGAGAACGCTGCAGGCACATGTGCAGTTGCAGGTGCAAGCTAGGGCCAGGGAGATGACCATGGGCTGGGAGGCCATGAGCACCGTGAGTGTGACTTTATTTCGGAAGCTACTAGCATAATCTTCATCTTGTAGGTGGGACAGCCAGGACTCAGAGAGGTGGAGTGACTTGACCCAAGGCACACAGCAAGCAAAGGCTTGAGCCTAGATTTCAACCAAGGGTATTCCAAAGTATTCATTAATACTTCATCATTCAGCCTAATATGAGCAGGTGCTGTACTACCGCTTAAAACACACTCTTCCTCCTAGTAAACGTCACCTTAGTTATCGTGATGCATTTAAATGCAACTGTGGTCAGTTAAGAATATAGTTAAGCCGGGCTCGGTGGCTCAGCCTGTAATCCCGCACCTTTGGGAGGCTGAAGTGAGTGGATTGCCTGAGCCCGTGGGTTCGAGACCCGCCTGGGCAGCGAGACCTCATTTCTACAGTAAATCAAAAAATCAGCCGGGCGTGGTAGCGCATGCCTGTAATTCCTGCTACTCGGAAGGCTGAGGCGGAAGGATCGCCAGAGCCCAGCAGGTGAA